TTCAAGAAAGTCATTTGAGCGAATTTTACCCAGGAAGGCCTCACTGTGTCTCTGAAGATTTTTTTTTGTTAAATTGGTCCTGCCAAAAATTCGCAGTCAATGTTGTTATCCGCTATCCCAATTGAGTAATTTGCAGGGGATTAGCCGCGAACCACCAATGAATCGCAAATTACAGGGACTTATGGATTATTGGATCGCAAATTATTGGATTTTCAGCATCGTGTCGTTTGGGCCAACAGTCAACGGTTCGCGTCAAGGGGAGTCCGTAATCTACTTGCTGCCCTGCCATCTCCTGCCCACATCTCAGCCCCGAGCGTCTGGGTCTCGTCAGCGCGACAACCTGTTTACCCTCTCGCATAGGTTTTCTGCGGTTGTTCATTCGCGTTGCTCCCCTTTGCGTTCTCCCGGTCCTGCCACTCGTCGTCGCCGCTGCTGCCGGGCGCGGTGTCCGACGTTTAGCTCCACGTGCCGGGAGCCGCTTCTTCGGGAGGAACTCGGCTCGGCAGCAGCGACGAGCAACAGCCGCCGACGAAGGCCGCGCGTCCTGACGGGCGGCTAGGAACGCCGGCCGCCCGGTTCGGTTTCCGAAGAAGCTCCCGGGACCCGGAGCGAAGCGTCGGACGTCACGCCGAACAACGACGAGCGGCACGACCCGAAATCCCGTAGCAGAGCTTCATTGTCCGTTATTTTTCTTCTTGGTCGTACGGCTGCTGATGTGGACGCAGAACAGCAACTGCAATTTCACATTCATGCGGTCAAACCCAGATAGCCGCGCGCGGAGCAGCGGAGGAGTCTATCGCTGCGATGTCTCCTTCGTATTTGTGGATCGGGGCATTGCGTCGTTACACGTTGTACGGTCTGCTCTCGATGAACAAAGTCGCACTACTACTACTGGAGAGTTGAACTGTCGATTAACTGGGGCGATCGGCCGATCGAGGGCTCCGAGTGCAAAAAAACCAACTCCGCGCCGCGCGACTTACACACGAGCCGCGGGACAGCCCCTGCCACTCCTGTAAACCATCAGCAGAGGGTGCCCCAGGAATTCTGGGAGGATTAGCGGCCGCACCGAGCTCGAAAAATCTAAAGCAGCTGCACCCACGTCCCTCCGTCGCTCCCAATTTGGACGATTACGCCTCTCTCTCTCTCTTTCACTCTCTTCCCCTCTCTACACTGCTCATCCTGCTTCTTCCCTCGCACTGCTCCACTTTGTAATCCCCCCACCACCACCCCCCCCCCCCAAAGTTGTTATAATAATAATGATAATAAATTTGCTCAAATCGAGAAACGTACAAGTTCACGTCGATGTACACCCTGAGTTGTTTGTTGCTGACCGCTTGGGAGTTTTGGGGAATTTTTATGGGCTTGCGCTCGGCAACTTTGATTCACAAAAATGTATCATGCAAAAATATAATGCTTTTTATGAAGCGCCCTTGACATCGCTTTACCCGCGATAGCAAAGTAATCGGTGAAAACGTTTACTTTTAAAGAATGACTTAAAAGACATCAGTGTGGGATGTCATCACGGTGACGTCTCGTGAGAAAGACGGAACCACCTGATCCTAAGGTAGCGCTGTTGGCAGCGCATATGGAGAGCCTCCAGACGCCTGATGTTCGATGCCAGCAGTGTCCAAGGTCTCTAATCTCGATTGACAAAGGGCTGTACGTGATTCATTACAATTATACGGGATCATTACCGGCCTGCATTATGTGTAGTTCCCAGACATCACAAAAGAGACAGTCAATCTCATTGGTAAATATATATACAGTTATATAATTATGGAATGACTTCAAATAGAATTTCAAGAACCCGCACTGGTGGTCACATCAAAGCGAGGACTAAAATGCGAATGCTGTTGCCATTAACAAAACATTTGAAGGCCAAACGAGCCTCTCACTGCTCAAACGAGCAGCGGGACGCCTCTCTCATCTCCAACCGTGGCTCCGATCCAGCGGCGGGAATTCCACATTCCAATGGCAGGGGCCAGTCTCTCCATAGCACAGATTTTTAAAAAACCCTGTATATCTATGCCAGGGCTTTGAAAAAAACAGAACTGCATACGGGGTGTTTCCAGTTGATCAGTTTTGCTTTTCAAGAATTCGTGCTCTTTGGGGTGTGAGCGGTGGTGCAGTGGTTCATGAACTGCGTGACGAGATAGATTCCCGGTCACGTGGAAGGGAACATCGCTGGCGAGTGATGGCTGAACCACGCAGAAGATTTGATCTGGGTTTAATCTTCCACGGAGCTGCTCATGGTCCACCCTAAATCGCATATACTGCACAAACCATGTGGTTACATAGAAAATTAAAAACGCTCCAGTGTGCGACTGTGGTCATCCAGAACAGAACGCGCAGCATATAACGATGCAATGCCCCGATTCACAAACACGAAGGAGACATCACAGCGATACGCTACTCCACTGCTCCTGGCACAGTTGTCGGGCCTGACCACCTGAATGTGAAATTGGAGTTGTTGCTCCGCAGCTACATCAGCAGCCGTACAAAAGAATAAGACTTAACAGATCCTGCGTGCACCCCCCCCCCCCCCGCCAAACCTCAATGACCAGCATGGTGCAGTATGATCAAACTGCCCCCATGGATCAACACAGTATGGCGACGTCGTTATCCAGCAGTAGATTTGACAAAGAGACTGGTACAGGAGGTGCTGTTTATAACTGAGACAAACACAGTTTGGGAGACAAATGTCAAGAATGGCAAAAGTCAAAACCTGTTCGTCCGTTCAAATATTTTCGGCCGTTGAGACATCACAACCTCGCGCGGCCCTTCCGGAAATCCATCGCAGTGGCGTTGCCTACCCAGCATGCCGCAGGGCCCCCAGGGGCCCCAGAAGCCGCAGGGGTCCGGGCGTGGGGCCACGAATAGGTGGGGAGGGTGGGCAAGGGGAGGCGAACCCCAGGGCCCATGAAAACCACGCTAGGCCACTGACGCATCGTCAGGCCGATATCAATGAAGAACGACGCTCCGGTTCGAAGCTGGAGGTGTTGCCGGTGTTGGGGGGGGGGGGGGGGGGTGGCTCGCAGGGCCCACGCTGGCACGGTCCGGATCCCGGAGTCCAAATCCGCTCCATCCGTCCGTCTGTCCTCATCTCGTGACGCTAACGTATTTATTCCGATAATCCGATGAACCGTGTCGTGCGTAACATGTGTTACGCATTTTCCTAGAATTTAGAAGATTTCCGGAAGCCGATGAGCGGGGAGCCAGAGTGAGGTTTTGTTTTTTTCTCCTTTCTTTCTCCGCAAACGTCTCGTAAGGAGACCGCCGGCAGGACGGTCAGCCGGCGAAAACGACGGGAGACGGAGCGGAGGAACCGTTGACTGCGTGCAAAACTGGCCCCCAGTGGCGATCGCAGCCTCTGCCGGGGCTACCCAGGCGCAGGTTCATCTAAGGCGTCGGTTCAATTGATGCGCTGGGGGACATGCAAACGGTGCTCCTTTTAGGCAAAATAAAAGAGGTCTGTTGTAGGCAATTTATAAAGGAGATCTGCGATGTCATCTGTTTGAGGGGGAATTCCCTGACACAAGGTGGCAACGCTGCTAGCTGTGAAAGTTATCCGAACGGATACGTCTTCGTCTCGGTAAAATGCGATGCAGACAGCGCAGTTTAAGACGAGGACCAAAAAAAAACCACAAGACTGGAACTCCAGTCGAAGAGCCGCCTCTCTCGTTCTGTATAAATTCCAGTCCGCACACAAGCGGCGATTCATGGGGCGCGTCCGCAACTGAGCAACCAGCTCGCCCGCCAAACTGAGTCGCCTGCATGAGGGACATCTCTGCGACGACGAAATCTCAAGAGCCATTTTGGTTGCTCACCCGATGGCCCGTGGCACGGACGAGGATTCACAGACTCTCGCGGAGTCGCAACAACACGACAAGGAGAGAGTTGCGGTGGGGGGGGGGGGGCCTTTGCAGTGGCAGATCCAAGGTTGGGGGGGGGCACGGGGGGAAGAGTGTCAATGCCCACCATGCTCCCACACGCCAGTTAGCAATGGCCACGCATTTGCGTGGGATACACGGCTCGGGGTGGAGGGTGGGTGACGGGGGGGGGAGGGCGGAGCGTGACGTCAGTGCGACGCACGAGCCCGGCTTAACGTCACCGCGCAGAAGTGCTCGGTGACGTCACCCGCGTGCCAGCCAGCCAGCAAAACTTATTTCTAATGGAGTATAACACTTACCGGAGGTAATGTTTTATTATTATTATTATTGGAGGGGGCCCTATTTGAAGATACTGAAATTTTGTGACCCGCTCCGTGGCAGCCGGTGCCGTTTGATTAAACAATTCACTCCGATTGTTGCCCTAAATCCGTGGATCTTCTTCTTCACCTGGGGTGCACGCTGCACCCCCTGGGGGTGCGAGACGTGGCCAGATTTGTCAAATCATCGAAAGCACAAATGAATCACGGGCACGTAAGTACAACTACTTTGTGTTATCAAACCCTGTGTATTTACTAACCTTTAAAATGTTTAATTAACGATTGAGGAACAAAGGGTTGCAAGGCTGCAGTAAGGGTTTAAGAACCACTGCCCTAAATCATGTCGGTGATAGCGGAGAAGCACTGGCTGACAGCAGTTGTTACCTAACCCGATTGTCACTTCCTGCAATGTCACTTAATTTTTCATGGAGTGTGGGTTCGGAGCATTACGCTGAACATTCACGGGTAGCAAATTATTATTCGTTTTTTGTATATGTCATTGTAATTATGATGTCATTCGTCGTTTTAAAACTCGTTTGTAATACTGATACAGTGAGATATTTTTTAAAATGTATATGTACTTCCATAAAGATATAGTAGCAAGCAGGATAATAGTCTTAATTTATGAGCTGCATCCACCCAAACCATGGCAGCTCGAGAGAGCCCCTCTGGAGCGAGGGTATTTTGGTCTACTCTTCCAAAACTGGCCAAACGTCTTTGGGGAGAGGTGGCGGTACCCCCACACTCCGCCCCCACCGCTTGCGACCGACCTGCGGTGGAGTAGCTCACTCACCAGACAGTCTCTTGAAGGAGGGTTCGGCTCTGTCCTCGATGGTCAGCGTCACGGCCAAGCGGAGCATCGCCACGAGCACCTTCCCCGCGCGCTCCGCGTTTTCCAGCTCGCCGCCCGACTGCGAACGCACGCGCGCAAAAAAAGCACAAAGCAAAAGATCCCCCAGGCAGCCGACGTGGCCTGTTGGGGGAAAGGGCTTCAAGACGAGCGCCTACGAAGGCCGGCACGGAGCACGAGCGGGGTTGGTGTAAGCAATGTCCCTTTTACGACCTCGCTCGTCTCTCCTAAACCGATGCAGCCCAAAGAACCGCGATTTTTTTTCCCATTCAATGGTAGCTACGCCTGGAAGTGTTCCACCTTCTGCGAGCCCCACTAAGGGCCATCGCACCTTCAGCGTCATCATCGCCGCCAAGTTGGCGGGCCGTCCGGGCAACGATGGTCACCGCACCGCTTCTGCAGGCCGTCTGGAACGCTTTCCTTGTCCGGTGTTAGGAAGCCACTGGAGCTGGTGCGCTTTAAGATCTCGACTGAAAAATAATTTCTTTCGGACTGTTTTTTTGTGCTCGGCATTGTTGTTCTTCCCTCCCACGCACCTCCGATTAGCGCGGTCGGCTTACGCACGGGCAGATAATCGCGGTGCCATCTAGCGGCGGGAGAGCGGGACCCGTTGAAGAGACTCCGGGAGTAGCTCCATGACGTCGTCCCTCAGGGCCGATTCCATGACGCAAACGACGCGACACTCCGACGGCCGTAGGGTTTTTATTTCTTTTTTAAGAAGCGACGCTCGTTTGCTCATTTCCCGAGTCTTACCGGCACGGCCAAAGTTAAAAACGATAGAGTCCAGATTACATTTCACGCGCGCGCGTGCGCCTGTGTGTGTACGCGTAGGGAAACTCGAAACTGGAACTGAAAGGTAATTAAAAACACAATTAAGCAACTGGGCACCCCAGCAGTGGTAATTTCCGCGACATTTCCACCACGAATGGTTCCTTTTTGGTTGGCCGAGCAGAAGGATTTGTGCGTGTTTTTTCTCTCTTTCAAAATTAGCCGCTTTCCCGTCGTGAATCAAGGCCAGAGAACGCATTCATCCTCCATCTCCTTAAGAAGCCACGCATCTCCTCCCTCCTCCTCCCTCCTCGTCTCTCCGCTCTCCGCACTCCCGAGCCGGTTTCCATTATCCGTCCACGTCCGTCCTTCGGTCGCCGCCGTAATCCTATTAACTCGCCACCGAGAATCCACCGCTCGCATTCCTGCTTTTGAATAACTTATTGCCGTTGGAGACGCGCACACACAAAGACAAAGATCCCCCGTATATCCTCGACAGACTCTTGGGGCAAAGTGCTGTTAGTGAGCACCTATTGGAGATGGTGTGGGCCCAAACCACTCCCCTCCCCAGTGGTGATGTTTACGCACCGCACCAGGTACTCATTTGAGGCTGAGTCTACCTGGGGGAGCACCCAAGACTGCTTCGTCACTGGTGCCGGGCCGTGAGCAGGAATCGAGCTCGGGCCTTCGCCGGGTCCGTAAGCGCGGTGCCCTAACCACCGCGCTGCCGCTCCCCGCACACGGGCTGCCCCTGCACCCCACGCGCACTGTGGACAGCGGCCTTTGTGGGAGGCTTTTTGTGTAGGGTCGTGAAAATTCTGGCTCAGACAATGCGACAAAAGGCCTCGCCGGTAATTCACGTTATTATGATTTCATAAAATCAACGTGGCCCCGGTGAGATTCTTTTCCCACAGGGGTCATGTCTAGTTCACGACCCGACGTGGATTATTTACCAATTTGTCCGTTCATTATTCGCTTTACGAACGCGTACCAGAGAACCGAGTTTGATCCGTTGCCGAGTGTAATCAAAACCGGTCGGAGGCACCCCCATCGCCCCCCTTCACCAAACCACCATGACCAGCGTGGTGAAATATGGCCAAGCAAGCACCCCATGAGAGTGTGGTTTAGGTACTGCGTGCAGTTCTGCGCAGCACACGACGTGTATTAAAATGTACGGCCGAATTAGAACTCCGGTCATCTTCGCAGCAGCGGCTTTTGGCTGCTGGGCCATCGAACAAAGACGGCCGCCGTCGCCGCATCGCGCGGCGCTTTCACATGCGCTTCCGCGGCCGTCTGGAACGCTCTTCCCTCCGATATTCGGACGCCACTGAAGCTATGCACTTTTAAATCTAGACTGAAAACTCATTTCTTTAGAACCGCTTTTTGTGATTTCGTTTGTTGTCCTTCCCCCGCAGCATCGATTGGCAGGGTTGGCTACGTACGGTGTGAAAAAAGTTCAACGCACATATGTATAATCAGAGTGACCAGGTAATGCTTCGTGTGCACTGTGCGATGACAACATTGCTTTACCACTGCAACCATGCTACTGGTGCACAGAAGCATGTCACACGTGGCTGTCAGGGGCGTTTCCAATGACAGCGTCACAAATAAATCGTGGCATCCGGCCAGGTGGCTCAGCTGGTAGAGTGAGCAGCTCACAAATTGAAGGTTGCAAGTTCATACCCTGTTTGTTAGGGTGGAGGTGGATGTTGACTCGAACCATAACCCCCTCCGGGGTCGATAAAATGACGACCCCTTTTGCGACGAAGCAACAACGGCAGTCGTCCAATAGAGTGACGCCGCCTCCTGTCTCGGGAATGTGGAATTCGCGCCACTGGCTCAGGGCTGCAAACATGACGCTCGTTTGAGCATCAAATCGCCGTGACGCGTTTGTCATCTCGATTGTGAGCCAACGGTAGTGGCGTCACTCGTGGGGTGCGGGAGGTGCGGACCGCACCGGGTGACACCATCAGAGGGGGTGACACCAAAATGACTGTCTAGAACAATTTTTGTGCAGTGTTTCAGCATAAATTTCGTTATTTATTTTTTATTAAAAATATCCCTGTAGTTAGTTATAACAACAAACACATTTTTCGTAAGCTCAGCTTACACGTACTGTATCAATACACCTAAAAGGCTAAAACCCTGTGCTAATTAACTTTTTGAACCTTGTAATGCCCTCCGGTCAGAGCTGTCATTGTTACCCAGCTACAATGACACTTCAAGTCACGTGGTTTCGTCTGCACGCGCTGCAAGCATGTGCTGTTGTGTCCGTTCGCTGCTGGTGTCTCTATAGTCGCTGGTTTTGTCAAATTTTCTGGTGTTTCAGCTACAATATTGTGGTAATTAGTATTTGTGAACCTATATCAATAACGTTTTTGAGAATTAAGTAGTAATTAAAGGAAATATTGTAATTTAAAGGTGTCATTTTAATTTTGCTAGGTGTTTACGTCACTACTATTGCCATTACGTTCAGTGATATACGGGATTTACTACGGGCGGAGGTCCATGAGGGGTGACACCATGAGTTATCGCACTGGGTGACACCAACCCTCGTGACGCCACTGGCCAACGGCAGTCTGACCACGTCGCGAATTTCAGGCTACCCCTAGGAATACAGGGTGCTTCAAAAAAATGTTAACACTTCGGATAATTTGCAACAATACCACGTGACATGTGCTGCTGCCTCCAGGATCTGTAGACCACCTGGAGAAGATTCCTGCCCACGTGTTGACAACGATGGCCAAACAAGTGGAGACTCTTTGACTTTTTGAAGCTGTTAACATTACACCTGTTATCACGTTACAGTCTATTATCTATTAAAAACGATAGTCCCATGTTAAGTGTTAACTTTTTTTTTTAAGCAGCCTGTGCAGCGGAGAGCTCCCGCGAAACGACGTGGTAAATGAATCAAGTGCAGCTCCACACACGCCTCACTTCACAGTCGGGAACTTTCCAACTATTTGCACATCTGTTCTTCCTGGTCTCGGTTGAACCAAACCCAAATTTGGCCACCAACCCCAGTTATTTGTACTGGAAGTGAAGTTTTTTTTAAATCAGGATTCGGCAAAGTAAGCTCGGCACTGTGAAAAAAAAACCACCGACGTTATGAGAAATTCGGAGTGGTCCGTTTGGGAATTAAGGAAAGAACAGGGGGTCACCGTTGATGCTGCCGTTGTTAAAGCGACAAAGAATAAAACGGAACTGGGGCAGGAACAGCTGACGCGAGATGAGCGATGAAGCCGAAGCCAGGGAAGGGAAGAGAAGCCGCGACAGCGGAAGACGCGGTAGCGGTAGCGGCAGCGGCAGCGGCAGCGAGGTAACATCACAGATTCCGGAGCTCACGACTGGACAGGAACTGAAAAGGGAGGATCGGCGGAGAATGGTGGGGAGGCGAAGGAGTTTTTTTGCCCAGCGGCGGGAAGTTACCGGCCGACAGCAACGACAGCAAGGGGGCGAGGGCGCCTGCGGACGCGTGTGCGTGTCAGCGGTGCGGCGTCGGAGCAAATACGCACGGCAAGGACCCCGTCGTCGGACATGACGAGGTATCCCAGCTGGTCGGGGATCTTCTCCAGGCCCTGCGTGAGCGTGTTCGCCTGCACGGGGGGGGGGGACAAAGCCGCGCGCCGCGTGACAATGAATTAACTCGACGACGTTCGAACAAACAGAGAGAGAGCTGGCGCAGCGCGGAGAGTTAAAACATTTTTTTACCTTTTCCCATTCCGATGAGGTACGCGTACGTCATCAGAATAGAACCGCAAGGAAAACTTAAGTAAAGATAACTTCTTGAGTGCCGAGGCACCCACAAGGCCATGCGGGAGGGCGCGTGGCACCGTTTGGCGCCAGCTGTCGCAGAGTGCGGTCGTGTGGCTACAGTTATCTGCGGTGAGTACAATGTCTTAAAAAACAACAGCGCCACGCTTCTCGAAATAAAATGAACGCTGAACTGCTTGCGCGTTCCGAGATTCAACGGTGAACGGGACCCGCACCTTACGACTTGCAGTTGTCTCGAAATGGGAAAGGGTTCAGTTGAGAGAATTCAACGACATGCGGTCGCTCGCACGCGGTGGTTAGCTGTGCGACGGCACGAACCCGGAGTTCCGAGTTCGATTCCATAGCTAATGTCCGCGGCACTCGATATGAGAACCGGTTCTGACCGCCGGCCCCCTCACTCGCGACCGACCGGCGTGGTGAAGTATGGTAAAAAAAAAAAATCCCATGACTGACATGTGCAGAGGCCGTCATGCATTGGTGGAGTGAGAATGTCTGGAATGTTTACGTATAATTCTTCTACGTATTATTTTTTTACCTTGAAACTAAAAAAAAATAGACAGGAGGTATGTTTTGAGTCGCTCGGATCGCCTGGGACAGAATCATTTTATATCAGAGAATGGCCCCAGAAGATCACACCACAGAACCCATTTGGATTGATCCAGCTCAGAGACTTAACCAATTATTTGTATTTGTACGACACGCGACAGAACGAGGTGGTGCAAGTGGTCAGCGGACTGTAACTAAACTCGGCGGCCCGGGGTTTGATTTCCCGGCTATGGCTAACGTGAGTGGGGAGTGATATATCGGCGCCGGCGATGGGTTGCCTTTCTCAAAAGCCGCTCCGACCGGCATGGAAAAGGGTACGGCGGGGGGGGGGGATTTCATCCAGCAGTGGATTCGCAAAGGGCTGTAAGCTAGCATTCATTATTCAATCAAGATCTGGTCACGGTCTGGATAATGATGCCGACCGAAATGCCTGCAGCAATTATAATAATTACTAAATCTATAAAGCGCCTTACAAGGTACTTGAAGAGCTGAGTACCTGGTAGACAACTCTCAGCAGATGGGCAATGATATTTTCCGAAGTAATTATTCAAGACAAAGTGGTACATTCCGCTCCGTCTGGAAATTCCATCTCCCGACAGCGCAACTGGAATATAATTGCAAGAAAAGTAATTTTTTTGAAGATTTGAAGAAAATAAAAAATGTATTATTATTATATCTTCAACATCTTTTCCATGACCTCAATCACTGCAGGCAAAGGAATAGAGGAGCCTATTAAAATCATTAGGGACTTGGTGAAAACGTGAGCTCAGAGGCGTAATTATCGCGGCGGATGAGACTTCAAAGCGACGCGCGGCCAAGCAGGCGGTGTGCAGGTGACGGCAGGCCCAGGTGAGGAGGAGCGTGGTGGGGGTGAGGTGACCTGCCGATACGAGGGCCCGCGTGAGACTATGCCCAGAGACCACAGCGCCGGCGCTGCCCACTCCGCCCGTAGCGGCACGCGACGCCACACGGGGACGCCGGGCCGTTTCCAACGCTGGCTCGAAGGCTCCGGCTCGTGCGCTCGTGATCGCCGCGGGCTGCGATTTGCAAGCGCGCCTCCCGAGATAATCACGCGGTGGTGGGGGAAGTGCTCACAGGGCCAGGTGCGACGTTCGCAAAGCGGCGCAGCATTGTCAACGTGCACAAGCATCGGTAATAAATGAAATCGAAAAGCCGTGAACTGTGCTCGAGACGAGAGTCTTTCTTACGTCCACTTCGATAGAGTTATTCACACGCCACCTGAAGGCACAATGTGTATTTAATTTAGTGGCGAATTGTGGCTGGATGAGTGGTACTTCTGGGTAAATTGTCCTCCAACTTTGGTTGACATCATTCCAAACGACCCATTCAGTGAATCTTAATTTCATCCACCTTAATAAAAAAACCTCCATCACTTACGGGTTGATTGACAGCAAAGAGACTGGCTCCTGCCACGTGAATGTGTAATTTCCACCAACTGGCTCAGAAATAAGGCACGCTGATGCCCGGGTTGAGCATGGAGAAGATGATTAATTTCTGCAACGGCTTTCAAGTGACAGTTCATAGATGCGTGACACTTGACTGCTAATTGGGCAATGTGTACGTAAATGTTTAAATAGCCTCGGGGGAAATTTGTCTTTACTCATCGCTAAATCGGATTTGGAAATACCTTTGGTGGGTCACACATCAACACACGCCTCAGCATTAATAAATTGAAAATGCAACTAAAATCAGGTGACTATCAGCCAATGCGGAAAAGAAGCCCCTTGCAGTGGCAGAGGGCAATAGAATCTTGCCGGGCAGTGATGGCTCTGCACGTGGCCTGTAGTCCAGCACTGCCGAGGCAGCAAGGGTTGCTGGATCACTGCACGAATGTTGTTGAAACTCCCTTCCCGTGGGCGTCAAGAAGGCGCCGTACCTTGGCTCGCCCAGAAGGCGGTACAGCAAGTGTGGGGACTCCCATCTGTTTCGTCTGCATGGGATAGCGTGTTTCCCCCTCGCATGCGTATGTTTTCTCCGGGTGCTCTGGTTTCCTCCGATATGTAAACACTCATTAATTGATTCTAGATTTGAAGCTTTCGTGACTGCAAGGATTCATACTCTTTGGTTTTATTCGGTAAAGTCACATGACTTTACCGAATAAGTCCAAAGAGTACTCATTAATTGATTGAAAACATCTTCGTGTATAGAGGACCGCGGAGCTTGGGCAATTGAATCATTTGGTGGGACCCCGGGGTCCCGCAAAAATCAGGTCAATTATTATTTTTCAGTTCGCCCACTACGTGATCCCGACAGCAACGCGCCGCCCGCCCAGACTCGCGCCAACAAGCGCCAGCAGCAGGCGGCGATCGACACAATGGGCGCCACCCCACCGGCCAAACGCAAGCCCCCGGGGAGCGTCCGCCGCAGTCGCGCGCGGCGACGACGCCCTCCGGTCAGCCGTCCATCCTCAGCTTCTTTGCCAAGGCGAGCCCCGCCCCCCAGGCAGTGAATTTAACGTGTTTATGTAATTTTTCAACTTTTTACGAAACTTAGTGCCCCGAGTAGCTCTCGACGAGGCCAATCGACTGACACTAGTTTTGTTGTCGGTAAGGCAAGACTCGTGTCGCTACACGGTTTTTCCCACCCCGGGGCAGTGATGGGACCCCGGGGCAGTGATGGGACCCCGGGGTCCCGCCAAATGCTTCAATTGTTGGTCGCGCCTGGTGGCTCACCGGCAGGCTGCTGCCTTCCCGCTCATCCCTGGTCCCTCCTTGCATCGTCGACAGCGAGCAAATGCTGTGCGGTGCGTTACGAGTTGAAATCGTTGTTTATCATTAATTACACATCGTAATTATTAAACCGTTAAAACGACAAACGCCGTTCCCATGCCTAATATATCTCACCCCCCTCCCGTGCCCGATGAGCACAGCTAAGATGATCGCGGCGTTGGAGGACCGCCGCTGGCGGTGCCGTATCGAGGTGGTGGGCCCTCATGCGGTCACGGGTCGTTTGAAAGTCAGAATCAGAATTACGTATTCATACTGGAGGAATCCGATGAGCTATAAAGCTCGTTTTCACAGATGTCCAGTAGGGGCACGGGGTGAGGACGTTGCAACGACAAACAGAACAACAACACGACAGGAGTGCAAAGTACAAGAAAGCTTAACAAATCACCCAAACACAAACAAGGAGGCCGCTCTTCTTCTCCATCTTTTCTACAGTTACATGCTCATTCCTCACATTAACATCATGCTCATCCCTCACATTAACATCATGCTCATCCCTCACATTAACATCATGCTCATCCCTCACATTAACATAATGCGCATCCCTCACATTAACATCATGCTCATCCCTCACATTAACATCATGCTCATCCCTCACATTAACATAATGTTCATCCCTCACATTAACATAATGCTCATCCCTCACATTAACATCATGCTCAACCCTCACATTAACATCATGCTCATCCCTCACATTAACATCATGCTCAACCCTCACATTAACATCATGCTCATCCCTCACATTAACATCATGCTCATCCCTCACATTAACATCATGCTCATCCCTCACATTAACATAATGTTCATCCCTCACATTAACATAATGCTCATCCCTCACATTAACATTATGCTCTTCCCTCACATTAACATCATGCTAATTTCTCACATTAACATCACTAAATCCCCGGCCACTTCTTTATGACCCTTGAGCTACACCCATTTCAAACCTTTTAAAACAGTCTGCCTCAGCAGCAGACCAATGCTTTCCCACCTGATGATGGACGCTTGTGTTGCGCCCGAAACGTCGTGATTTATTTTATTTTATACCTACGTGACTTTACCGAAAGCACCAAAGAGTATGGATTCCTGTAGTCACGAAAGCTTCAAATCTACTTTAAATAAACATAAACCACGCCCATCATACCAGGAAAAGCCCACTCGAGGCATTAACTTCAGAAGCGACCTGGCTATCACAAATGACAGCTCAACGAAGTGCCGTATCATCACGTGGAAATGTGTAGCAGCCAAATACTCGATAAGCGCGCGTTGATTCTAAATGCGGACGGAAAAAAACCCGGAGAAAATCCACGCGGCCACGGGAAGAGAGACACGCAGACTCAAAAAATACAGCAGGCGTCAGGGTCTGGATCGCACCCACGACCTCCTGCGTACCACAGAATGCTGCGCACGGGCCAACATTTTCCCCCCGCCCATCCCCTCCCCCCCGTTCTTCACGGAGTTTACAAATCAAACTGGACACGGCGTCGACTCGCGTCAGCGGCGCAATTCGCATCGCGTCCGGGCGAAAT